CACCCACCCCCACCCAACAAACAACCCAAAACCCACCAAACCACACACCCCCCCCCCCCCAAACCCAACCTACCCACCCCCCCCCCCACCACACCCCCCCCCCCCACCCCCCACAACCCACACAACCACCCACCCCCCCCCACACCCCACAAACCCCCCCCCCACCCAAACCCAACCCACCCCCCACCCACACACCCAACCCCCAACACCAACCCCCCCACAACAAAAAACAACAACAAACACACCCCAAACCCCCCACAACCCACCCAACACACAACCACCCCCACCCCAACCCCCCCACACCACACCCAAACCACCCAACACCAAACACACCCCCCCCCCACCACACCCCCCACCCCCCCACCCCCAATCCACTACCACAAAAAAACCCACCATACCCCCCCCCACCAATACCCCCCCCCCCCCACACACCCCCAACCCACCAATTAACACTACATACCTTCAACCATAAAAATATCCATCAAAAACATAACAAAAAACAAAAACCCCACCCCACCCCCCCCAAACCACCCCACCCCCCCCCCCACAACCCCTAAACCCCCCACCCCCCACAAACCCACCACACCCCTCCAACCCCAACTTACCCAAATCAAATAACACACCCCCAACACACACCAACCCCCCCCAAAACCCCAAACACCCCCAAAACAACAACAATACACCCCCCCCTAACCCCATAACACCCCAACCCCCCACACAACAACACCAATACACCAATCCACCCAACCCCCCCAAACCCCCACACCCCCAACCAACACACTATCAATCTCCCAAACCCAAAAATACCTCATCACACCCAATACAACACCCCACAAATACCCTTCCCAACAATTCACAACACCCAACCACATAATCAATCCCAATTATATCCCCACCAACCAATAACAAAACACACAAACCCATCACAAACCCCTACCCCCACACCCTCCACCCCAAACTACAACCCCACCCCAACCAACCCCCACCCACCACACCACACCAAAACTCCCCAACACCCAAACCAACACCCCCCAACAAACCAACACACCCACCACCCCAAACCCACAAACCCCCCACACCCCCAACACCCCAACACCAAAACCCCAACCCCCCCCCCCCACACCCCCCACCCCCCCCACACACACCCCCCCACCCCCCCACACCCCCCACAACACAACCCACCCAACACAAACCCCACCAAAAAACAACCCACCACACAACCCCCCCCACCCCCACACCAACCCCAAACCCCACCACCAACAAACACACACAACACACCCCAACCAAACAACCACAAAACAACCCAACCCCCCCCCCACAAACCAACAACAACCCCCCCCCCCCACCCCCCCAACCCCCCAACCCCCCACCCCCACCCCAAACCCAACAACCAAAACACCAAACACCCACCACACCACACACCCCCACCCCACACACCCCCCCCCGACCCCCCCACCCCCCACCACCACCACAAACACACAACCCCAACTCCATCCATCCCCCCCAACCAAAAAAAACAACCCCACCACAACCCCCCCACCCAACCACCCCCCAACCCCCCACCCACCCAACCACACCATCCCTCCCCACACCACCACAACCACCACCCCCCCCCCCCCCCAATCATTAACAAACATACACAACCACACCCAACCCCACCCACCAAACACCAACCCACAAACACAACAAACTCCAAAACACAACCAACAACCCCACCCACCCAATCAACACCCCCCAAAACCCCAACAACAACACCAAACAACACACACCCCACAACCCACACAAAACCAACACCACACCACAACCCCCCACCACACACACACCACACAAACCCCCATCACACCCATACCACAATCAAACCCCAACACACCCCCCCCCCCCCCCCACACCAAACCAAAACAAACCCCCACCACCCACCACCCCCCCCACCCACAACCACAAAACCCCCCCCCAACAACATACCCCCCCCCCCCCAACTCCCCCAACAAACCCCCATCCAACCCCACCCAAACCACCCTAACCCACCAAAACCTATCCATTCACCCAACACAAACCACATCAAACATTCATTCTAATATATACCTACCCCACCCAACAACCCCCCCCAACCACCCCCACAACCATAATCACCCCCCCAAAAACACCACCACTCAACCACCACCCACACACTCTACAAAATAACCCACACCAACACCCCCCCCAACACCCACACAAAACCACAAACCCCCCTAACACCCCCCCACCCACACCAACACAAACCACCCATCCCCCCCCCAACCCCCACCTCCCCACTCACCCCCCCCACCCACAACCCCACACCCATTACCAACAAATACCCCCCCCCCACCCAAACCACAATACCTAACACAATCCTCCATCTTCAACCTTCCTCAACCTCCACACCCCAATCTCACTCATACCAACATCACAACACCACCTACTAAAAAAACCCCCCAATCCCTCAATCACAAAACCCCAACAAAATTCTTTCTTCTACCTTCTTCTAAACCCCCCCTACCTTATCCCCCACCACACCCCTACTCCAACCCCCCCCCAACCCCCTCATCCCCTTACTAACAATCCAATTAACCTAATCACCCTTATTTTTCAACCTCCCCCCTTATCCCACCTTACCCACCCCCCCTTTTTCTCTACACAATCACCACACAAAACCAACAACCCACATTCTAACTCTCCCTCCCATTAATCAATCTTAATCTTATCTACTCCTCCCCATCCCCCAACACCCTCATTCCCTTACCATTTCTAACAAATTATTCCATTAATCATTCATTCTATCAAACCATACCCCCCCCCCCTCATCCCAACTCCACTTCCCATTCTAAACACAACCCAACCAACACCCCCCCCCCCCCCACACAACCCACACCCTCCCCCCCCCACCCCCCACCCCCACCAAACCCCTCTAAATAAATAAACATCCCATAAAAAATACAACCCCCAACCCTACTACCCTACCCCCCTCAACATAACACCACAAACCCCCACCACCAACAAACCCTTACCCAAACCCCCCCACTACTATTATCATATTATATAACATAATAACTAAATATATCCATATCCTAAAATTAAATAAAATATAATAAAATAATCAAATCTATAAATCAAATAAATATAAACCCAACCCCCCCCCACACCCCCCCAACACCCCCCCCCCCCCAACCAACCACAAACACCCAACCACCCCCCCACACCCCCCCACCCAAAAAACCCCCCCCCCCCCCCACCACCAAACCAATACACCCCCCATAACACCCACCAACCCCACAAACCACACACCCCACCACACCACACCCCACCCCACTAACACCTCCCACACCCAACCACCCCAAACACCACCACCCAAACCACCCCCCCCCCCCTCTCAACCCCCCCCTAACCCTCACAAACCACCCAAAACCCCCTACCCTCCCACCACCCCCACCCAAACCCCCACCACACCCCACAACACCCCCAACCACAACCAAAACCAACACCCCCCAACCACCCCACCCAAAACCCCACCCCCCCCACACACCCCCACCCTCCCCCCCCCAACAAACCAAACTCAACAACACCACACAATCCCCCCTCACAACACCCACACACACCCCCACACACACACAACATCCCCACACACACCCCAAACATCACACCCCACTCACAACACACTCATCCACACTCACCACAACAAACACCTCAACACACACACTCACCACACAACACCTCACTCACACCACACTCACCCACACACTCTCCCCACACACACCCCTTCACTCTCACACCACTCACACCCACTCACACCCACACACAAACCACTCAACTACACACACCCACACTACACAACACACACCCACACACACACCACACCCACACCCCAAACACACACACACACACCACACACTCTCCACTATACCCCCACACACACCACCACACTACACACCACACATAAAATCCCCTCTCATCTTCCACACTCACACCTCTCACTCCACTCATCTCTCCCCCTTCTCTCTCCCACTACACTCCCCACATTCTCACAACCACACACCCACAACAAACCCAAACCCACCCCCCACCCAAACCCCACCCAACCCACAAAACCACCTCCACAACAAACAACAAACCTATCCCACCAACAACTCACACCACCACCAAAACCCATAACCACCCCAACCACAACACAAACCCCCACACCCACCCCCCCCCCCCCACCAACCCCCCCCCACCACCCCCACACCCCACAACCCACAAAAACACCCACCACACACCCCCCCCCCCCCCCCCCCCCCCACCCCCCCAAAACCAACCCACACCCCCCCCCCCAACCAACCACACCCCCCCCACACAAAACACCAAAACAAAACCACCCCAACCAAAAACACACCAACCACAACACCACAACCACAACCCACCACCCCAACAACAAAAACACCACCAAAACACCAACCACAACACACCAACCAAAAAACCCCAACCTACAACCCCACCACACAACAACAAAACCACCAACCACAAACCACAACAACATCACCACCAACACAACACCACCCCCAACCACACACCACCCAACCACAACACCACCCAACCACACCAAACCAACCACAAACACCAACCAAACCACCACCAACCACAACACCACCCAAACAACACAACACCAACCACTAACACTAACCCAAACACCATCCCTAAAAACAAACAACCCACACCCCACACCCCCCACACACACCAACACCCCCCCCCCCCCCCCCCCACCCCCCCACCACCACCCCCCCCCCCACACCCCACCACCCAACACCCCCCCCAACCCAAACCCCACCCCCCCCCCCACCCCACCCCCCCCACCAACCCCAAACACAACCCCACCCCCCCAACAAAAAACCCCCAATAATACAAACAACAACCCCATACTAAACCAAACCCCCCCTCACCCCAAAACCCCCCCCAAACAAAAAAAAAACAACCAAACCCACCCAAACCCCCCACACCCACCCCCCCCCTCAACCCCCCCCCCACCACCCCAACCCCCCACACCCCCCCACACACCCCCCCCCACACACACCAAACCACCCCCCAAAACTCACACATCCCCCACCCACCCCCCAACCCCCCACCAAACAAACCAAAAACAACCCACAAACCCACCCCCCCCAATACTTACTTTCCCCCCCCAAATCCCCACCAAACCACTAACTAATCAAAAAACATCCAACAACCACCAAAACAAACAAAAACCCTCTAACCACACCCCTATTATAAACACACCCCCCCACCCACCACCCCAAACCCCCCCCCCCCCCCCCCCCCCCCACAAAAAACAATACCCACCCCCCCACCCCCACCCCACAAACACCCACCCACAACACAACCCCACCACCCCCCCCCACCCCCCCACCCCCCCCCACCACATCCCCCACCCACCACCCCAAACACCCCACCCCCCCAACACCCCCCGGTGCTGTACTACAGCGACCACTGCTCCTGACGGAAGCTTTAGTGGCATCAGGGTCAATGCAGAGGACAAATTTCCCTATGGGGACAATAAAGTGCACATTTACATTCATTTCCATCTTAAGCTTCTCCGAAACACAGCTGCAGTGGATCATGTGAATAAACCATGTGTTCTTCGTGTGAATCTATCTCCTCTCACGGCCCTCACTGTAAGATCCACAGATGTGCAGAGCCTCAGGCCGGAGGTGGCATTTCTTTATCAGGCGAATACAAAGCAGTCCGTGTGAATGTGTGACTAATGTACTCCAACCCATTCATATTCAATGAAGCTAATTTCTACACGAGATTACACCGCCACTGGTGCTGTTAGAAAAAGATGTATTAATTAGAGACAGAATCATTTACTCTGTGATTTGCAAATAGAAATCTTATCGTGTTTGAAGAACCAGATGAAGATTGCATTTCAGGAGTGTTTGAGTTTAAAGAGGGCAGAGTGTCATGGTCCTAAGCAAAATCCACCTTTCTGTGAGGCCATAGGGCAGCTGGGCAGGCATGACAAACTCAGGCCCGTGGGCCAAATCCGGGCCGCAGGACCATTTTTAGCCATAATTATTATTATCAGTGTAACTTGCAGTGTAGAGTAAGTGAATACATGTAAGTCACTGTTATACTTTAGACCCCAGCCAGCTCTGAGTTTTATTTAATTTTTTCTTGGCCCCCGACCAAAATGAGTTTGACACTTCTGCCTGGGATTTTGGAAAGAGTCTCCAACTTAAAATAAATAATTACATCTGCAAGACACTGTAAAAGGTGCCTTTCCCTCTCCAGATGCAGAACTGTTCAAGTATCTCTGGATCTTGTTCATGAGAGAGGGAAGGATGGAGCGTGAGGATGACGGAGAAGAGGGAGCAGCGTCTGTAGTCAGAGCTGTATCAGGTAGAATGGATAGCACTCTCGATTTTCATCAAGAAGGTCCTGGGTTCGAATTCCGGTTGGAACAGGGCCTTTCTGAGTGAATTTTGCAAGTTCGCCCACTGTCTGCTACGGTTTCCTCCGGGTGCTCCAGTTTCCCTTACCACTAAAAACATCTAGCATGCATGTGTTGAAGAGGGAGCTGAGTTGAAAGTCAAAGTTCTCGATATACCGGTCTATGTTCCCTCACCTAGGACTGAGAAGCTCAGTCACACGGGAGGAAATCAGAGTCGAGTCACTGCCTCTCCAAGTTGAGAGGAGTGCGTTGAGGTGGAGATGAAAAATAAGTAAAAGAATTGCTCAAATTTGGTTAAAAATATATATTAATTTGAGCCCATTCTGACAGCCTTAAAACAAGATTTTCCAATGGGAAGAGAAAATATTAAGAAAATAAAGCGACAGTTCTTGAAATAAGACGAAATGGCTTTGTGTCATCGGTGATTCTTGTTTTAAGACACTCACCTGAGGGTAAAAAACCACTCGACTCAAGCTCAGAATGAGCACAGACTCTTGGCCCCTCAACCTGGCAACGAATAAATGAAAACTTGGATGAATGGATGGTTCTTAACTCTACGTACGACTTGTGCTAAATTACAATACCCAGAATGCGTTAGTCCTGTTTTTCATTCATTGAGCTTGATTTGTTTTTGTGGTGGTTTGCTTTTGCTGCTCTTGACATTTGAATTTTTTATGGAGTTTTTGCTTCCGGAGCCCGACAACTGGACCGAACCGGGCCAGGCGGGTCTAAAGAGATCAGCCTTTCCTCTTTTCTGACTCACAGTGTGGATGATTGACAGGAGCGATTGGCAGCTCTCCCACCGAAGGACATCCCTCTTGGGTTTTCACATAACATTTTCTTCCTTAACAACGCTGTCATATAGACTCATCAATCCGTCAAAGTCTGTTGTGTCCGTGCTGCATTCAAAGAGCTGCTTTAATCAATGTTAACTCTGGCTGCATCACGCCACACTGAGCACAATTATGACATAAAGGTGGTTTTGAAAATGAAAGAGAGAAATGGCCATTCCAGTCTCGAGCACAAACAGACAGACCGTAATGGACAGACTAATGGACAGAAAGATAGAAAGATGGCAAACTCCTCCCCTCTTTTAAACCACACAATAATCTCTTTTTCGGCCGCTTCACTTCCTTATAAGGTGATGATATTCGATGGCAGGAAGGACGTCCTTAGTGCCTAGTGTGATGTCTACACTCTCTACTCTACTCTACTCTACTCTCCTCTCTCCTTCAGACGGACATACTTAATCATGCTTTCAAATACTGTACATTATTAGTCCGGAGTGTCCTGCAGGGGGCGACAGTCAGGGTCCAGTTTAGACGTTTACTCCGCTCTACTCTAACTGGTTGGGTTTCCGTTATGTTTTGGTATCTGGCACCACATCCCAGAAACGTACCCTAAACAGATCAGTATCCATGAAAATTCTGTGGTAACCATGGTTTCCAGCAGTACTCTGACCAATCGCAGTCAGATAGAACCAGAGCCAAGCAGGTAATAAAATGGACCTAGTACCGGTTAAACAGGGTCAATGGAAACGCTTTCGATCGGTAGAGCCGAGTAGAGCCGAGTAGAGCCGAGTAGAGCCGAGTAGAGCTGAGTAGAGTAAAGCAGTTTGACTCCCTTGGAAATCAGGTTATTATTCTCAATGGGACTTTTCTGCTCTGGGCTCTCTCTGTGCTTCCTCTCGGCTCTCTCTGTGCTCTCTCTCTTTTCTCTCTCTTCTCTCTGTGCTCTCTCTCTGTGCTCTCTGTCCTCTCTGTACTCTCTCTTCTCTCTGTGCTATCTCTCTCTTCTCTCTGTGTTCTCTCTGTACTTTCTCTTCTCTTTGTGCTCTCTGTGCTTTCTCTGTGCTCTCTCTCTACTCTCTCTTTACTCTCTCTGTGCTCTCTCTGTGCTATATCTGTACTCTCTCTGTGCTCTCTGTACTCTCTCTGTGCTCTCTGTACTCTCTCTGTGCTCTCTCTGTACTCTCTCTGTGCTCTCTCTGTACTCTCTCTGTGCTCTCTCTGTACTCTCTCTTTACTCTCTCTGTGCTCTCTCTCTGTGCTCTCTGTCCTCTCTGTGCTATCTCTCTCTTCTCTCTGTGCTATCTCTCTCTTCTCTCTGTGCTCTCTCTGTACTTTCTCTTCTCTCTGTACTCTCTCTGTGCTCTCTCTGTACTCTCTCTGTGCTCTCTCTGTACTCTCTCTGTGCTCTCTCTGTACTCTCTCTTTACTCTCTCTGTGCTCTCTCTCTGTGCTCTCTGTCCTCTCTGTGCTATCTCTCTCTTCTCTCTGTGCTATCTCTCTCTTCTCTCTGTGCTCTCTCTGTACTTTCTCTTCTCTCTGTACTCTCTCTGTGCTCTCTCTGTACTCTCTCTGTGCTCTCTCTGTACTCTCTCTGTGCTCTCTCTGTACTCTCTCTTTACTCTCTCTGTGCTCTCTCTCTGTGCTCTCTGTCCTCTCTGTGCTATCTCTCTCTTCTCTCTGTGCTATCTCTCTCTTCTCTCTGTGCTCTCTCTGTACTTTCTCTTCTCTCTGTACTCTCTCTGTGCTCTCTCTGTACTCTCTCTTTACTCTCTCTGTGCTCTCTCTGTGCTCTCTCTGTACTCTCTCTTTACTCTCTCTGTGCTCTCTCTCTGTGCTCTCTGTCCTCTCTGTGCTATCTCTCTCTTCTCTCTGTGCTATCTCTCTCTTCTCTCTGTGCTCTCTCTGTACTTTCTCTTCTCTCTGTACTCTCTCTGTGCTCTCTCTGTACTCTCTCTGTGCTCTCTCTGTACTCTCTCTTTACTCTCTCTGTGCTCTCTCTGTGCTCTCTCTGTACTCTCTCTGTGCTCTCTGTACTCTCTCTGTACTCTCTCTGTGCTCTCTCTGTGCTCTCTCTGTGCTCTCTCTCTCTTCTTTCTCTTCTCTCTGTGCTCTCTCTGTGCTCTCTCTTTACTCTGTGCTCTCTGTGCTCTCTGTACTCTCTCTGTACTGTAGAGAGAGCTGCTGCTGGAACGTTGCATAACACTGCAGTCGAACACTGAGGTGGAACACAGGTCTTCACAATCGTCAGCGCCCACACAACACCACAGAGCAACACAACACGACAAGTGTGCGGTGGCATTTGCACAACCCTCTACTGCACACACTCTTATCGCTCCCGCCCAGACTCGCTCACTACAAATAGGCTGGAGATTAGTTTTGTCTCCACATTTATGAAGTTACTTTAGCAGCTGCAGATGTCGGAGCACAGAATGAACAGGGTTTGTTGTTTGCCTGTGTATGTTTTTACCAGAGCATTTTTTAACTGTTTGATTCTCTGATCTGCGTTGGCGAATCCACAGCTTTGTAAAGTCCTCCGAGATAATTGCTGTTGTGGTTTAGGGCTATACAGCAATACAGTGAAGTGAAATTGAATTTGAAGATGGACCTGTTATTTATGCTTAATGCAATATTATAGAAAATATTGAAAATTATATTATACTTATACCATTTACTTATATGCTCTTCTAGTGTTCATGTTAATTGGCAATGAGGAAGAAGAACGTCCTTTGTTCGTCTCCCAGGGTGGGGAATTTTCAGTTTGATGAATACACATAATACACATCAAGGCATGCAGCGAACATTACATCCGCACTCCTTACAGGCAAAGTGAGTCCTGCCCAAGGACAGCGGAGACGGTGAAGAAGTTCTTGCAGTGGGCTCGAACCCACAACCTCCAGGCTCAAAGACCAATGCTCTACAAACTGAGCCACTAGTCTTCCTAGTCTGAGTGAATGTACTAAACTTTGTTATTGTTGGGGACTACAGGTGTAAATTAGCACTGCTGCTACGACCTGGTACAATGCATCTCTCCTCTTGCCTAATGTTTATTGTACACTGTCCCTGTGAAAATAAACCATACTATATCTTTTCCTGTGTCAATGTTCACACATTTCTCTGTAAAGTGATAATAAAGACTATTCAATCATTTTCTACCCCTTTATTAATCCATTTCTGGGTGGGGGGGTGACAATGAGAGCTACCACCCAAGTCTCAAAGCACCAGTCCCTCGCTGATCCTCTGCAGGTGGTGAGTCCACAGGAAGATGGCTGCTAC